TCGTACCCAATCGGGTTGGGGTTCGGCCGCGCGCCCGTCGGCCTTCCCGCCAACGGAAGACCTCCCTTCTGCTCGAACCCATCAAACTCCAGCTCCACTTTCTCCTGGTCCCTTCCGCCCAGCCGCTTTGCATACCGGATGAAGCGGTACAGTGTTAGAACGTGGGAGTTGGTGCCGGTGGCGTATTTCAGCTGCGTTGCCGAATAGTACGGCCCTAACCCCTCTAACACAAACACCGAGAGCTTTGTGAGCATGGCTACCACCGTGTCTACCTCCATCTCTTGCTGCGCCGTTTCAATGAGCCCCTCCTCGGACCACTGCTTCTCTGCGACTTCCAGTCGATGACGTGCAAGGGTGGAGAGACCCACTCCTCTTGTTCCATCCGGACGTGGAGGACGTACAGAGTTGCGTCTTCGAGGGACGCAGTCCGCCCCTCCCGCCCCGCTCTCCATCTCGAATCCGCTGGCGCCTCCATCAAAACCCCCTGCCCCCGTTTCGCCGTCCCCTTCGAGAACAGCTCGTGGATGTTTCTCGGCCGAAGCCTCCACCTGTCCCCGTCGTCCTCACCTCCAGCTGCTGCAAGGAAGTAAACGCAGATATCAGAGTCGTGAACCCGCACGCATCATTTCAAAGAAACGAGCTAAAGAGTCGAAATTTGATATGCCCCGCTTTGGCTAAAGTACGCGCAAGATTGCATGAAACGTCAATCTTCTTGTCATGTTGAGAACGCTGCAATTCAGGAGAACGAGGTGCTGCAGAATACAACCATCACGCCAATGCTTTCAAAACAGTTTGAAGACTTTGAGTGTTGGCTGATGCGTGGACCGGTAGAACGCCATCTTCCAACGTTGCAGACACTTGCATCCAATGAGCATACGTTGAAAGGTACCTGAGCGGATGGCCTTTCGCCGCGGGCCTTCCAAAAAGTCGACCATAACGCCGATGGCCACTCGGCCATCCGGGGTTAGCTCTCCCTGCCACGCCTGCCGCCATGCGCTGTATAGCTGGCAATATGCTGAGCTGCCGTCCAGAGCCGCTGCATTAGCGGCTAGCATCGCGGAGACGTCGATCTTGACATTGAAGAACTCGGGGGGAGGCGCAGAATCTACAAAGTTACCAAACAGAATCGTAATATGTATTTGATGCTCGCGGCATTACTCATTGCTACATTTGGATATGGCACAAGCAGCGCGACTCGGAGAAGGAGTTTTGTTCGAGATAATGTCGCGCCTATGCATCTCGACATAAAAATGTCTCGGCATGGCTTGACCACCTACGTGTCGATCCCAACGCTATCATCCCCTCCTGGGCCCCTCGCCTGCGCGGGGCCCACTCTCAATGGCTGGGATCGGTCACCTGCAACGCCTGGGATGCCCTGCACCGCGGGCAGTACCAGTCACCCTCGGGCACCGCCGCCAGCGGCTGAGCCAGACAGTCCGTGTGCCACCCCGCCCCGCACCCGTCGCACAACAGCATCCGCGCCTCCCCGTCTGCCCTGCGGCACCGCGTGCACGCGAAGTCCTTTGCAGGCCTCGCCAGCCTCGGGTCCATCTGACCCTCGATGTCTGTTCGGTGACATGGGGCGCAGCGCTCCGTGTGCACGCGCACAGTCCGTGCATCCGACCCCTCCAGCTCCAGCACCCCGTCCCTCCCCACCGCCTTCACGCGCAGGATCCGCCGCCCCGCCCTCGTGTCCAGCGTGTCCAGCATCTCGCGCTGCAGGTAGACGTAGTCTCCGACTGCGTGCTGCACCGCCTTGGGCTTCCAGGCACCGCTGCGCGTGTGCGCGTACCGCAGCGTGTCTCTGTGCTGCGCGATCTGCAGGTTGCCCATCGCCATGGGCATCCACCGCCGGAACTGCTCTGCCCGCTGCGCCACCAGCGCAGTCAGCCGCTCCGGCTGATCCAGGTCCAGGGGCTCCGTCACTGCCACCTTGAGCGCGCCTGGCATCACCGGCTCCCGGCCGTGCAGCTGATGATAAGGGGAAAACCCTGCGAGCGAGGACTGGGCGCTGAAGTTGTACCCCATCGACACCCAGGGGAGGTAGAGGTCCCACTGCTCCGCTACGTGCCCCAGACACCACTTGCGGAGCGAGCGCTTGACCACCTGCACGATCCGCTCGCTGAGCCCATTGGCCTGGGGGTGGTGGGCTGATGTGGGGCGGTGGTCAGTGAGCGCCGCGTCTAGGCACTCCTGGAACTCCGCTGCAAACTCCCCCCCCTGTCCGTCACCACCTCCGCGCACGCCCCAAACCTGGTGAGCACCTCCCGAGTGAACACCGCCGCCACAGTGCTGGGCTCCTTGTCCACAGTGGGGACCAGGACGATCGTCTTGCTGAAGTGCTCAACCATCACGAGCACGTACTGGTTGCCCTGGGCTGACCGGGGGAGCGGTCCCGCGAAGTCAAGCCCCCAACGGTAGAAGAGGCCTTTGATGGGGAGGGGGTGCAGCGTCGGGTGTTTCACGTTGAAAGTGGCCCTCACCCTGTCGCAGGCCTCGCACCCGCGCACCACCCGGGAAACGTCCGTCAGCAGCCCCACCCACCAGTAGTGCGGCCGGAGCAGGGAATGGGTCTTCTTGACCCCCACGTGGCCCGCCCGCTCGTGCACGTCCCGCACCAGCCTGTCCCGCACTTCTGCCCTGGGCACCACCCAAACGCTGCCCGCCGCCTGCCTGACCAAGTGGGTGCCCCGCCACTCATAGCCCCGCGCCCTGTGCTGCAGCCTGTCGCGCTTCCGCCTGTCCGCGCCAGCAGGGTACCCCCCTCCCCTTAGCAGCGCCAGCAACGCCGCGTCCGCCCACACGTCCGCCAGCGGCGCTGTCCTCTCCACAGGACCGCTCTCTGACCGCCCCGGCTCCGTCTGCGCTGGCTGCCAGGCGAGACAAATCGCCGCCGGCCACACAAGGGGTGGGTTCTCCTCCAGGTCACCCTCCTGCCTGACCCCTGCGCAGTCCTCTTGCCCCGCCTGCGGGTAACGGCTCAGACAATCCATCTCGTTGTCCACTCCAGGCCTGTGGACAACCTCGAAGTCAAACTCACTTAGCATCAATGCCCACCTGGCCATCTTCCCCGTGAGTTTGGTGTTCGTCAGGATCCACTTCAGGGGCTGGTGATCGCTCTCCAGCACAAAGCGCTCCCCCCAGAGGTACTGCCGCCACAGGCGCACGAAGTACATCGCCGCAAGCAGCTCCCCTTCAAAGCTGCTGTAGCGGGACTCCGCCTGATTGCAACTCCTGCTGCCGTATGCCACCACCCTCTCCGCCCCGCTCTCGTCCTCTTGCAGCAGCACCCCGCCGACGCCCCGCTTGCTCCAGTCGCACCGCACCTTGAAGGGCCTGCCTCTCTTGGGCAGCACCAGGACCGGGTCCTCCTGCAGCGCCTCCTTCAGCGCGAGGAAGGCATCCTCCTGTGCCTGGCCCCAGCGCCACAGCGCCCCCTTCTTGGTTAGCTCATTCAGAGGCGCCTGGAGCCTGCTGCAGTCGGGGATGAACTGCCTGTAGTAATTCACCACCCCCGAGAACGCCTTCACCGAAGTCACGTCCGTGGGTCTGGGCAGGGCCGCAATCGCCGCCACCTTCGCCACATGGGGGGAGACGACGCCAGGCCGCAGCCACATCCCCAAGTACTCCACCGACTCCGCAGCAAAACAACACTTCTCTGGGTGGCACTTCAGCCCCACCTCCCGCAGCCGGTCGAACACCTGCTGAACCAGCAGCATGTGTTCCTCCGCAGTCTCCCCCCCCGCCACGAGCAGGTCATCAACGAAGCTGCGCGCAAGAGCCTCGCATCCCCTCAGCGCCCGGTCGATCGCCCGCTGGAACCAGGCGCTGGCGTTCCGCGCACCAAAGGGGCAGCGCTTCCAGCAGTACAGCTTATTGCTAGACCAGAACGCCAGCTTTCTGCGGTCCTCCTTCCGCACCACCAGTTGGTGGAACGCCCCCCTTATGTCGATGGTGGAGTAGAACTTGGCGTGTCCCAGCCCCTCCAGCACCTCCTCCGGCAGGGGCATGGGATAGCGGTCCTGGGCAGTCTGCTCATTCACCCTTCGCAGGTCCGTGCAGAAACGGGCCAGCTTCCAGTTGCCCTCAGGATCCTTCTTGGCCGCCATGACAGAGTTGGCTGCGAAATCGGAGTCGCACTCCTCGATGATGCCCGCCCTCTCCAGCTCCGCGCACCTCTCGTCCACCAACTCCCATTCCCGCTGACTGTGCTTCCGGCGGCGCTCGTAGATTGGCTGGTCCGTCTTTAGATCAAGCTGCACCTCAAAGAGCTTGAACTCCCCTATCTCCTCGAGCGAGAACGCAAAGACGTCCCTGTTTTTCTCTACAACCGCCGCCACCCGCTGCTTCTCAGCCTCCTCCAGCTGCGCACCAACCAGCCATCCGTCCGCTGCCCCCTCTGCTTTCACGCCGCCCACCGTCGCCGCTCCGACCCTCACGTCCTCCCCTCCAGCTGGGCCCGCACCTGCCGTACCCGCCGAGGCCCTGCCTCCAGTCGCCGCCTTGCGCGCTGGGCTACCGCCCGCCGGCCCCCCGCCCGTGCTCCTGGCCTGCGCCGAGGGACTATTTGGTCCTCCAGCTGACCGCTCACATGCCGCGCCTGCTGGGGCGCCACCTCCAGCCGCCGCCTCGCGCGCTGGGACACTGCCTGCTGGCCCCCCGTCCGTGCTCCCACTCCGCACCGGGGGGCTGTCCAGTCCACCAGCTGCGCGCACACCTGCCGCGCCCACTGGGATACTACCTCCAACCGCCGCCTTGCGCGTTGGGCCGTTGCCTGCTGGGATACCTCCTCCCACCGTCGCCGGCTCCCTGCTGCCCGTGGCTGCCGTACCGCTGATCCCTACCCCTCCCAGCTGGGAGCTGGCCGCTCTAATTCGACAGCGCCCACCTTCTCGGCAGGCTGCGAGCAGCCACATCAGAGCGTTCAAGTCCATCGCCTGCCCAAGGAGCTCTCTGCGCGTCTGCTCGCTGAGTCCTTCCACCTCTGTAAACCCGCGCGGGTACCCCATAGACAGCTCACGCTCCTCCGCCGTCGGCTCTTCCCAGGATACCCTGCCCGTCTGGTCAACACATCTCAGCACGCCGCTCCCCCCTCTTGAAAACGCGTAGGACCCCCCGTAGCTGACGAACATGTTGAGGGCCCGCCGCGGCTCCCCAGGTCTTTCCACGCAGGCCCAAGGTGCAACACCAGGCGTTCTGGGCGGCTTTGCCTGCTTTCCTGCCCCTAGAATCTGTTGCACGAACAGCCCCTCTGGGCGTTTTTGCACACTGAGGGCGGCGCGCTGAAGCGCCATCCCCTCCAGGTTAGTCCACCAGGCACGAAGCCGATGCGCCCGGGACCCGACCTGCGCGGCGTCAAACACTAGCTCTGGGCCTAACAGCCCCCGCACAGCTGCGTAGTGATCCCGCACCTTTGGCCTGCGGTCGAACCCCGCTGCCACGTGTTCAACCACGTACCCGAGGCTTCGTCCCCATTTCCTGTGCAGCCCTTGCAGTATACCCAGGACTCGCAGGAGCTCGACGAACAGTCCTGACTTGGCGTCGTCCAAACCACCCCCGCCACCTGCCGCGCTGGCATGGCCAACCCGCGACCACCAGGTCGATGGGCCCCAGGGTGCGCCGCCGTCACCAGCTGCACGTCTTGTGGAAGGCGATGGTGAAGCTGCGCCCCCGCCCGCTGGCTGACCTGGTTTGGGAACTCCTTCGCGAGGCGCTGCAGCGCCCTGGAGTGGGCCTGCCGTGCTGCTCCCCTCCTTTCGCACGCGATGACTTCCCCAACAGAATACCCCAGCCGCGCTACAGCTTGCGTAGCAGCGCCAGCCCCGGCGAACAGCTCTAAGATTCGGAGGGGCCTGTCTGCTGGGAGTGGGGCGGCGACGTTCCAGTTGATTGGCCTGCACCCCTCCAGCTGCGGCAAGGGGACCTGTTTTGGATCCCCTGGTTTCTTGCGCTTCTCCCCCACTGCCTGCCAGACCGCCCTCTCCGCCTCTGCTGCCACGTCCAGCACCGGCCCCCGCGGCCATCTTTTCCCCCTCCACCGTCTCATCCGCTCCTGCCTGAGGGTCCCCCCACCCTCCTTCCCACCAGTTGGGGAGCTGGGCCCGTCCCCTGTGTCCTCCTCGCTCCCTGGCCCAGCCCCCCCCGCGTCCTGTCATTTGGTGAGGCAGCAAGCGAGCGCCACGCCCGCCACCCCCTTCCTCCCCCGTTTGCCTACCGTTGTCCATGCCGCCCCCAGCTCTTGATGCAGCTTCATCGGCAACTTCCCCACCACCACGCCCTGCCTTTGCCAGTCCGCCCTGTAGACTGCCGTCTCTGCCCACCTGTCCACCAAGAGACCAGACGGGTACGCCGCCCGTATGCCGATCAAGAGGTCATACCCTGTTGACCCCGTGAAAGCCACCTTTTCGCAGATTGTCAACTCCTCCGGCGTGTTTGCATTGAGGATGATCGGCACCGGTTCTTTTGTCAGTCCGCCTTGCAGGGACTCCACTTTACCCGTCGCTGTGTGGACTTTCTGGCCCCCCGCGTCCATATCCGCATCCCCGAGCCCGAGCTGCTCCTTGAGCCTGGCTCCCACCATCGTGTAATAACTCCCGCCGTCCAAGAGCACCCGCTGCGGTGTCACCAGTCCCTGGGGCGCCGCCACTCGCACCGCTCCCTTGCTGTTGTCCACCCAGTCTGGAACCCCTTCAACTTGCGACCGCCTCCCAGCCTCCACCAGCGGGCGCCCGTCGGCGAAGCACGCCATTATCGCCGCGTGCGCGTAGGCATCCGCCTCCAATTCCTTACTATGCCCCGTGGCTCTGTGCGGCTGAAATGTGACAGGCGCCAGCGGCGTGCTGCCTTTCTTCGCCCCGCCAGCTACCCGCTTCTCCCAACCCAGCGCCTCCTCCAAGCTTGCCCTACTGCCCCTGTCCCCCTCTTTCTCCTTCCCCTTTTCCGCTTCCCCACGCTCTCCCCCCAACGCTGCCTGGGCCTCGACCGCTGCGCTGGGGTCAATCCCCTTGGCCATCGCTTCACCTGTCACCAGCTTCCTTGCCAGCGCAGCGTCCTGCCTGGATACCCTGTCCTTGATGCTCCGCTCCTCTGCGTGGGCCCTCAGTTCCTCCTCTTGCCGTGCCTCTGCCATTGCCTTGTCTGACTGCCCCCGCTGTCTGGCCCGCCCCCGACCTTCCCCCATCGCCGAGCTCTCAGGAGCCTCTTCAACCGGGACGTCTGCCCACACCACCGCGTCTGCATATCCCTCGTCATCTGCCCCTTCCATGGACCCGCTGGGCGCTCCCACCGCCACCCCCGCCGGCTCTGGTGCCCGCCTGACTGAGTCCTCCAGAATGGCCACCCACTGGGCCATGGGTCCTGAGATCTCCTTGGCCCCAGCCCCCCCCGGCGTCTGCCCCTCGCTCTGCTGCGCCGCGCCGGCGCTCCGCTCCCTTGCCTCCTGGGCCCTGAGCGCCGCTGGTGACAGGCTGCGCCCGTTGCCTGAACCGGCGGTGACCTGGGCCTGCGGCGGCGCCACGCCCGCCTTCTGCCCACGAGTCAGCGCCACCACGTCCGCCATGCTCATGTCCGCGCGCTGGGCCAGCTCTAGGAACGTTCCCACGTCGAGGTGGACCCCCCCGGTCAGCACCGGCTGTGGCAGGACCCCCGCGCCAGGCGCTACCAGGCCCTGCAAGGTTTGGGATTGCCCACGGCCTTGGTTTTGGAAAGGGGCCGGGGCTGTCTTACCTGGCAGGTGGTATGGGGCCTGCACGGTCTCAAAGGAGCTGGGATGAGTGGGTTTGGGAACCACGTCGGGCGAGCTGGCGCGCGCATTTCCTGCGGCTCTGACGCGCGTAGTCCCAGCGGCCTGCGGCACCTGCGCGTCCCTGACCGCGAACCCCGCCGGCAGCCGGTGCAGCCCCTGTGGCACGACGTACCGCCCATGATCGGGCAGCTTCGCGGCCCGCTCCTTCGCCGCCCCCTTGTCCCGTCTTGCCCTGAGCGCCTCCTCTGTCCCGTCCCCCATTGGCCGCGCGATCTGCTCCGTCCCCACTTTCCCAACAGCGCCCTTGTTCACCTGCGCTTCCTGCCGTCCCGCCTCCCTTGGTCCGCGCTTCGCTGCCCTGGTGGCTTTCGCCTTTTCCGCCCCCGCCCTAGTTCCTGCCGCCGCCATGTTGTTTGGCGTGCCTTCGCTGACGGGGAGCGCAACCGCCCCGAGTGCGTACTCTTGCTCGTCCCACTCGAAGTCCTCCTCCTCCCCCTCGTCGGCCCGCGTCGCCAGCGCCGCTTGAGAAGATGCCCTCCACTCCTGGAACGCCCTCAACTTTGCCCCCGACACCAGCACTCCCCTCCCGTCTCCACATGCCGGGGGGGCACGCACCGCCACCGCAGCATGCTGAGGCTGAGGGGCAGGGGCAGCGTGCTTTGCGCACTGAGCAGCCTGGTGGTCGTGATCACCGCAGACCCAACAGGGGCCCCGTCCCCGGCCGCGTCCGCCGCCGCCGCGTCCAGCCCGTCCGCCTCCCCGCCCAGCGCTGTTCTGCGGGGGATGGGGGCACGCGTTCCTGTAGTGCCCGGTCTCCCCGCGGTTGTGGCACGCCCCCGAGCCCCCCTGCTGTGCCACGGGAGCGGCCACCGCCGCTGCGTATACGGGCTCCTCCAGCTGCAGTGCCGAGTGCGCCCCGCTTGCCCGTCCTCCCCAACACGCGCGGGGGACCTCGCTACTCCTGGGCACCAGCTCCCTGGCGATCTTCATGCACGCATTGCCGGCGGCCACCATCAGCGCGGCCTCATACGCTTCATCCAGCGTGTAGGCCCCTCCTGTCTCGACCGTCGACGACATCGCCTGCGTGTTAGTCTGTTCCGCGAACCGGCGATCGAGGCTTGCCACGAACTTCCCCACCAGCTCCTTGTCTTCCAGGGGCTTCTCCAGGTCCAGCGCTAGCCCTTGGAGCCTAAAGAGCAGCGACGGGAGCTCCTCCCCCGGCTCCCTCCTGAACGCCACCCATTCGTGAGCCCTGCCCTCCTTATGGTCCTTGAAATGCCTCTTGAGGGACTTTAGGAGGGCTGCCACCGGGTCCGTTTCCCGGCAGTGCGCCTCGTACTCCCGCTCGTGGGCTAGCTTGGCGGGGTTGTCCAGGAACTCCCCAAGGAAGATGCAGTAGTTGCCCAGGAACTCAGGGCCCGTGATCGGCTCACCGACGTCTTTCTGGAGCTTTTTAAACCTGCTCAGCAAGCTCCCCTTCACCATTAACTCGAACTGCTTAATCGTCAACCCCTCGCCTTTCTTTCCCGAGAACCTAAGCTTCCCATCAGCCCCCGCGCATGTTGCCATCTCCCCAAATGGATCCTCCCACCACCCCACGGCCTGCTCACCCCTCACAACCGGCTGGACTTCCTTCCCAGCCTCAACCCTTCCTTCCTGGCCCACCCCTGACTCCTCTGTGCTCTCTGCCTCCGCACGCAGCACCGCCTGATACCTCTCCGCCCACTGCCCCCTGGTTTCCACCGGCATGAAACACCAGCCGTCCGCTCAGTCCAGGCACTCCACACCGCGTCCCTGGTCCGCAAGGCGTGTGTCCAGCAGCGCCAGCAGCCACCCGTGCACCGAGTGCCACTCACAGTAACCCCGGAGCTCCTCCTCCAGCCAAGCGGGGCGCGCCTCTTCGCCCTCCTTCTCCTTGCTACCCGTTCCCTGTTCCGCTATGCGCCTCGCTTTCGCCTCCGCTTTCCGCTCCCGCTTCTTCTTGGCCGACTCCGCCTGCACCCTGGCCGCCTCTGCTGCAACCGCCCTTTCCCTCAGCTCCTTCGCCCTCGCCGCCTGCTCCACCAGCTGCTGCGTCTGGTTCCACACCTGCTGACGCGTCTCCAGCGACTGGACCTGGTCACACAAGCGACAGGCGGTCAAGCACCCGTTCACCACCTGCGGGAGGTGCTCCGCTAAGCTGACCTTTGCTCCAAACCCGCTCGCTCCTCTCGGGTCGTTGGCTACGTAGGCGAGCCAAAGCTTGGCCTCTGGTACCCCGCTGTGTCCGTCCACGTACGGCCCCCACCTTGCGACGAACCTCTGCGTGGCCTCTAGCAGCTCCGCTAGCCTAGGGTTTCTCTCCACGTCCTTCGCAAACTGCTCCTGCACCTCCGCAAGCCGCTTCTCCTCCTTCTTCCGGAACTCCTTCTTAGTCTCCAACGCCTCCTCCCGTTGCTCAAACCGGCGCCCGTGCACCGCCGTCAGCTCGTCCCGGCGCCGCAGCTCTTCAGCTTCCCTGAGCGCCCGCTCTTCCTGCTGCTGCCGCGCCGACAACTGCTTCCTAGCACGTTCTTCTCTCTCCTCTGCCTCAGCACGTTCCACCGCTTCCCGTATCCTCTGCTCGTCTCTCTCCGGCCTGTGGCACAGCGGGCAAGGAGAGGGACAGCGCAGCTGGACAAACGGCCAGTGCTGCCTGGGGTTGACCGTAACTCCCAACAACTTTGCTCTCTCAGGGTGGTTTGCAACAAAGTTAACCCACAGCTTATCCTCCGGGAACCCACGTGGAAACCGCAGCTTGAAGCGATTCCAACCGTCTATGAAACCCTGCGCGTTCTCCACTTCACTTGGCTTGAGACCCCTGATCCGCTGAACTAACTGCCTAAGATCGTCCCCCATTCGTCATCAACCAGCAACTGATCGCGTGACCGTTACCTCCTCGGGCCTCCCTAAGCTCGCGGGTCTCCCTGGGGTGCGCAGACGCTCCGCTCCCCTTCTCCCGTGCCGCAGCACCGTCACTCCTGGCGCAACCCCAGCGGGGTCCGCCCTCCGCAGGTCGCAGACTTTCTGCCTGCCAACCCTTTCCAGCGCCGTCGCGTCCTGCAACGGCTGCTGCTCCAACAGCTCCCCCAAGCTGAACACTTTCCCTAACCTCACTTGGCTCTGGATTCTTTCTTCTGTGAAAAAGTCATGCTTCGCTAGCATGTCACAGAGAACAGAGCCATGTGCACAGGGAGCTCCTATCGTCACCACTCACATGCGTCACCGTTGAGACTAGCTTCTGGCCATGATGCAACTCGCAAGGACACCTGATGCCGCCCTTCCTCAAGTCTTACAATTGAACAGAAGAAAGAATGAAGCTATAGGGCTTCATTCTTCCTCCAAGTCACAAGTGCACTGGGCACACTGAGGTCCATGTCATTACCACTCAATTCTCGACATGACCAACTAGATCGGACATAAAACCACTGCGACTCGAACCGGCATGACAAATAAAGCACAGAATGAAACGAAAGGATGCCGTTAGATGCGTCAATCATATCAATCTTGTTCAAGTATTTAATGCAGTTGCCTGTCTTGCTTGGGTCTTTATGATGCTACTGCAAATGTGCCGACAAAGAAAGCTTGCCCATGCACAACCCAATACAAAAACGGGTCTGACAAGATCGGGACTCCAAGATCGTTCTTTTGCGAAACCGGCAGATCAACAAACTAATAGTCAATCGAAACAAACAAAGCAGACGCCGGCGCACCACTAACTCCCCCAGCACCACCAGTTCCTTTCTCGGGAGTCCCGCCACCTAGGCCCCGGCCACCCGTCACCACATCTTCCGCCTTAGCGGACCCCGCCCCTTTTCTAGACCCCATTCGTGCACCTAATCTACTCGGATTGCCCTTGCCCCGCGCCATATTTGCCCCTTGCCCGAGATGCCACCACCTATTTCCCTTGCTTCCCCGCTTGCTTCCCTCTCTCTTCACCCGCCTTGAACGTTTCAGCCCCGCCTTGCGCTGCCTCTTGAGCGGCAGCGCGCTCCCGTTCCCTTGCCTCTCTCTCCTCCCGCTCGATCTGCTTTGGCGGCTTCCACCTCTCTGCGCCAGCACGCAGCTGAGAATAGTACTCCCTCTTGTCGTAGGAGTGCCCGTGCTGCACCTCCCTCTGCAGAGGCAGTTTGTTGTTGTCGTCGCGGATCCCGCGGATCCGGCGCGCTAGGTCCAAGTCCTTCACCTGGAGGGTCTTGCGCTTGCCGTGCGCAACGCGGAAGATGGCTTTCCGAAGAGGCCCACGATGAAGTCTTGGCTCGCCTCCAAAAGTGCGTCTAGAGCGGACGAGTGCCACCTGCAAGATTTTCAAAGCAGATTAGGATGCTTGAATCTTGGATATCCCTCCCCCGAACGATTTCCAAATGCACATTCTGTTACGCACTTTGGAATTGGACCGTCCGACTGGGAAGGACAGGTGTAGAAGCACATATGATTCCGGGAGTTGGTTTATTCTACCAGTGCAAAGAGACCTGCACACTTTCGCTGCGCAAATCATGCTAGTTGAGTTGCCGCTTCCCTCGTGAACAAGATTGTCGCCCACATGATCAGAGTGGAAGCATTTGCGACTTTGTTTACCTGCCAGCTCAATGGCAATGTGTGAGCAGCTCATTTCAAACACCTGATACCACATATTCCTGCCCAAGTTGCTCGTTCCGACCTGCTTGAAGCTCCACATCACAGCCCAACGTAGTAAGATCGAACAATAGACGTCAACTACTCGATTTCAACTGAGATGCTAACCTGAGGCCGTAGCTCTTTCCCCTCTTGTTTCTCTTCGTGTCGCACAGCTCACGCACGAGCCGACCGAACGAGAGCCTGAGGACAACAGGCTCCGTGCTCTTTTGGTACTTCCGGATCTCCCTGAGCGCTAGGGTGCCTGGCATGTACCAATGCGGCTTCTTTGGATCACGCTTGGAGGCGGGAGCTGGACCTTCTGGCGCCTTGCGCTTGTTGCCTGCGAAACAAACTAAGTGCTTATACTTTGCAATAAACCAATTGTATTACGTTCTACACAAGAGCCCACCGTACTAAAATGGGACCAAATACTAGTAGTTTTGAACAAACAATCTAGCTGGAGTGTTACCTTAAGAAATCGCCTTGCTCGGAAACATGCTAGCTAGGTGCATGATGCAGATAGGTCATTAATGCATAACAATGATGCAGACTGGCTGGTTGGTCATATCATCAAACAAGCCCACGGGAAGCCCACCTAATCAAAAGTTCATCAAAAGCATTCACCAACATTTAGATAGTTGAAGCGGGTCGGTCGGCGCGCAATGAAAACAGAAAACAGTGGGTCAAGCACTTGGTGGCTGCAAGGCGGCGCACACAAGCGGATTCTTCCTATCTCTTCCAGGAAAGAATGTTCAATTTCTTCTTGTCTCTTCTCTTTTGATCGTGTCTTTCCCATCTAGCCTATCACGGGCAGTCAGCGACCAGAAGTCATGCTGGCAACCGACCCCGTATCTACTCGGCTCTTTCTAGAATTTGGGTCTTAGTTCCACGTGATCTACTGCGTACCATCTTTAGATTCTAATTGAAGACTACGAAGCTTCCGGTCACTTTCTTCTGATTCTAGAGTGTTCCGAAGGGTCGCCACGTGTCGCCTCCCGATTCGGCGCGCAGAAGTAACGCCACTTACTTTAGCCAATCAGATGATGCTCGTTTCCGCTTGTATGGTCGGGGTGTCGCCACCAATGATTGATTCCGATTCACAGGGTTTGCACGGTTGGTGTCTGTCGCGCGTACGCGCGCGCAGGGCGCTCAGTCACGTAGTGGGTCTTTGAGGATAGTAAGTTTTTGAGGTAACATGAGCAGCTATGAAACCATTGCCTTGACCACCAGTTGGCAGTTGGTCTACCAAAAACGCCGCAAGCACCGTGTTTTAGGGACCCTCCGCTTGCAAAATAGGCCCAGGACGCTCATGAAGTGATCAAATGGAGCTCAATCTTTACAACCCATATACCAGAAACTGCTTCTGCACCCTGTTTGGGAAACAACCATCTCGTCAAAAATGCTCAAACCAAGTGCAATGAGCTGACAAAAAGAGCCTTATGATCTTGCAGTTTAGCAAGCATGCACCTGCTTTTGAACAAACTCAACATAGAACAAACAAGGAGGTGCTCGTATTTTGCAAAAAAGCATTTGCATTACTGTCAACATGAGCGCCCACCACTCTAAAACGGGAGCATGTACCTAGTGGTGAACAAACTCCTCGCTGAAATGCGAAAGCATCAAAGCATTAATCACATCTTGGTAGTTGCTGTATTAGGGAGGCGCCCAAGCATCATGTTCAGGGACAACTGGCTCGCACCTATGCCTAGATCGCTCATGGACCGCTCACATTTGAGCTCAACTTCTACAGCCCGTTTACCATAAAGCACTCATGCAACCTGTTTGGGATACAACCCGCTAGCTAGAATGCTGAAATCAAAGGCATTGAGCTGACAAAAGAGGCCCGGCAATTTGCAAGGCGTTCAAGAGTTCATACCTGCTGATGTCTTCTTGGTGGGTGTCTCCCGTGCAGATGCCTTCTTGATGCCGCTTCGCTCTGGAGCGCTGCCCTTCCCCTTGCTGCTCCGCCCTGGTGGCACTGCCGGGAGTCCGCGGAGCACCCCAGCACCAGGCCTCGGCCTTCCCGTTGGCCCGAGCTTGGCAATGGACTTTCTGTTAGAGCCCTTTTTCATTTGAGGGGGAGCAGCTTTGCTCGCTGCCTGGAATGCGGCTAGTGCGGCCGCCTTCCCCTTCTTGCGTGCTTCTCTGCCTTTCTAGCCTGCGCCGCTTCGTAAGCCGCGTGTTCTTTTTTGAAGACGTGCTCTGCGAGTGCAATCTGCTGCGCAAAAGGCAAGGGGTCTTCCTCCTCCCCTTTGAACACTTCGGTAACTTCTTCAACATGCTGCAAGGGGATTGACATAACAAGAGGTCCCTTTTCCAAGGGCGATCTCTTGCTATATGCGGCCGCCTCCAAATTCTCCGCTTCTTGCTGATTTAGATTTGCTTGCTTCAACAGAATTTCAGGGTCCTCTAGCCCATTGACCTCTTCGTTTGGAATGTCGTCGCTTGAAGACCGGACAGCTGCTCTCATTATCAAGCGCAGACGAAGCAACGCCAAATGGATGTTCGCGGCTGTTTTGAGCGCCTTCCAACTTCCAACGAACCGTACCATGCAAGCAACCAGAAATTTGGCCGTGCATGGGCCGGGTTTGAAAGTCAATCCGAGACATTTCGTAATTTGCGTTTGATTTCGATAGCTTGACAGGCTGCAGCGTAGGTGTAGGACCCGCTATTCGTCGACTTGCGAGCGGGTTCGATATTGTGAGCGTTGAGTCGACCGACATAGGCTGCAGGAGCTATATCGTCGAAATGAAGTAAACGAGCGGGAGCGTGACATTCGCCAAGCGTGCGAAAACCTAAGCAAACCCTAAAATCGAACAATCCATCACAACTTCGTAAAAAGTCTGCCTTACATTGAATGTCATTTTTCGTGGTCTCATTCGCTTAAAGGGCGCGGCCGCTTCTGATCAGCCGCAAGCTTCCAACGCTTCCTTCAATTGCAAAAGCCGCGCATCAGCCTGCGACCAAGTTTTGCAACGGGGCCGGGAGGCGGAGAAGGTGGCCGCGCAAGAGGATGAAGTTGGTAACTCGGAGAACCCGGGGGAAGTGCAAGTCCCGAGAGAGTCCGAAACTGCAATCGACACACTAGAGCTAGACGAGTGTGGCCTTCATGCCGATTGGGGACTAGAGGATTATTTGTCATACGTGGAAACTCTTGCTACGCAAAACAAGTGGTCCTCAAAGAAGAAAGCGAAGGCGAAAGCTCATTATCAAGCAAAGTTTGCAGAGCTCAGCGGGGAGAAATCTCCTCCGCCAGAGACCCTGCAGACAGAGCAAGGGGCTCCGGAAGACTGAGTCCGAAAGGAGCGGCGCATTATGAGCTCAGAAAAATACCGGGCTGTGCTTGACGACATTGCACGGAACAATGCTCTCTATGAAAAACCATCCAAGACTCATAACCTGAAGGAGACAATCCTCAGAAAAGCGGATGTCCACTTGAATGCGGCGGGGGAAGACGATCCCGATGCGCCCACCGAATCGGAGCTGCAAGCCGAAATGACGTTCAAGCACCATGCACGAGGGGAGGAAGCGCCCGCGGAGGTTGAAAAGGAAGAAGAAGGGGGGGAGCTGCACTCGATGTTGGGAGAGCGTGGTCGGGAAATGGATTCAACGGAGCAGCATAGGAGGCACAAGGCAGCAGCAAAAAGCCTTGGGAAGACCTCCAGAGAACTTGTGACGGCCGGCAAGACATGCAAGCCGCCTCGAAAGAAGCCGCGAAGCAAAGCAACAGGTCGGAACCATCAAGCGTCTGGGGCGTGGTGGGGGGTAAGAAGCCGGTGGCTGGGGTGGCGGCGCTTGCAGGCAAGCCGGAGGCAGCAGGGCCCACGGGGCAGAAGGGCTCAGGGGGTGCCCAAAAAAAGAAAGTGGCACCGACGGGCGCCAGATGTCGGGAAGCCGGCAGCTGGGGAGGGGAGGCAAAAGCTTGCGAAGGAAGGCAGTGGAAAGGCGGTGGTTGGAGACAACCGGAAAGCAACGGCGGCGATCACGCCCCTGCGGCCCGAGAAGAAGCCGCGGCGGTACAAGCCGGGCACCTTGGCGCTCAGAGAAATCAGGAAGTACCAGAAGAGCACGGACTTCCTAATTCCAAAAATCACGTTCGGTCGGATCGTGAGGCGCCTGTGCAACACGTATTCGAAACAAGAAGACCTCAGGTACGTTTTATATTATGTGGGCGGTCGTTGTTTTGGCCCGGGACTGAAAAGCTTCAACCTCTATTAAGTTTCATGGTTTTGGGAGCATGCGGTCTGCTTTGCTCTAGGCCCATGATCCGATCCGGCAGCCAGGTTTCCGAAAGTAATTGCTCTGACAAGACTGCGCCCGGGCCATCTCCGAAAGTAGGCGGATCATTGAGATTTTGGATATCATGGGTGGCAAACTCTGCAACACTCCAGCCGTGGACCAGCTATTCTCCAAAACTTCGGGTACATTGGCGGGGTTCCGAACATCATGCGGGAGATAAACAAGACAATGTTCGAGCTTTGCACTGATGTCTTGATGACGTGACTATCTTGCAGGTGGCAGGCGTCGGCGTTGGACGCCCTGTTGGAGGCAAGTCAGGACTCCGTCGTGGGGCTGTTTGGAGACGCCGTATTCTGCCAAGCACACGGAAAGTGGACGACTCAGATGAAAAAAGACTTGGACCTTGCAAAACGGATCTGAGGCATCCGAAATGAGGACGACAAACTCCCATTGCAAGAGGCTGTAGAGCACGTCGTGGACCGACGTGATACCAAGGTCTATGACCCAAACCCATATAAAGTACGGTGGAAGCCCCCCTAGCAGATCGAACGGGAGGCGCGAGAGGCACAAGAGGAGAAAGAGAAGAGCGAGGCAGCAAGCCGCGCTATAAGGACTGCGCAGGGGCCCTCGCGAGGGGCTGAAAAGTCGGAGGGGAAGGACAAGGGGAAAAGAACAACGCAGGGGCCGGAAGGAGGGGCCAAAACGGAGAAGCTACTTGAGAAACGCAAAGAGACGAAAGCGAAGCAGGGGCCTGGCGTAGGGGTTGAATCGGCCGGGGAGCGTGCCGAGCTGTGGTGGAGGGAACGTTGGAGGAATCCCAGGGAGGCGCAGAGAAGTCGAAGCGGGGGACCAAGAGGGAGAAGGAAGCAGAGGAGACGCATGGAGGAGAGAGCGGCGAAGCCTCCAGAACGGGTGAATTGGAGGGGGGAAAAGCGGAGAAGGAGGCCAAGACCGGGGCGGAATTATCCCAGGGGGATAAGGAAGCCGGAAAGAAGCGCCGGGGGGGAACATGATCGTGCAAGGAAGGTGCAAGAGGAGAGAAGAAAGTGGCTTGATTGGTGCGTGCAACAAGAGCCGTCTGCAAACTTTAGGAAGGGTGCGAAATTGTACATAGCGATTGCGTCCATAGATCACAAGCGGTAAAATAGAAAGCAAAGTGTATGTCTGTTCTAACCGCACTTGAAGCACGGGCTGTTGTGGAGTGAGCATAACAGCGCACGAGATCCCAAAGACGTTCTAGAAGCATAGAATCTGTGATTGTGCGCAGCTGTACATTCGGTGCAAGCAGCAAACTTCGTTCATGCTAGAGGTTGTATGGTAGTTGCAAGTAGGGTAGCAAGGCGTCGTCAATAGATAATAGTACGTGCCAGGCACCGCTTGTCTTTTGAGACCCTACCCAGAAATGCCCGAAATGCAATGAGGGAGTTTCCAAGAGATTCCAACATAGGCCAATCATATGTCAAACGTTCACTATACGATGCATGTCGACGTGCTTACATGTACCATGATCGTGTGACCTTATCCAAGCAAGTCATTTAATCTATTTTTTGATTTTGCATTCTGTACAATTTGGCTGGCGTGTGTCACTGTTAAAAGTATGGTAT